CTAGTTCTTTTTCAGCATATGCGTGTACCGAAATCTTTAAACGCAAGTAAAGGTGATGTGTTTAAATAACAAGTTCTGCCTCTAACCGACAGCCTACACGTTAAATATCTCAGACAATCTAGACTTCAACAGATTTCCTATTTTCCAATTCATCTTAGTGTACTTATTCAACGTGAATTAACTTTGTGTTTATCCGGAGAGCCTAACTAGCATTTAAAATACCTAAGCTTTCTTTTAAATTTTTATCCCGTTAGCTTTCACATTTTGCTAAATTTTTAAGTTTCAATTTCTGAATATATTTACAACTAATTTTACAAAGTTACACATTTTTTTACATTCGGAAAGACATATTTACATTAAAGGCAATTGTAAAACACTATATATATATACACACAAGTTTCCAGGTTCTTACATCCAAATCTAAACAAAGTTGCTAGGAATAAATCATTTTATATTGCATAAAACAGTCTCTCAACTAAACGGCGTAATTCTTGAAGCGAACAAAAGTTTCATAAAAAATAAAATATTCAGCTTTATTGCTGCAACAAATAATAAAACCTCCCTTGCGGCAAAAGCAATTAGACAACTCTTTAAAAGCACTTTGTATATTTTTAGACATAACAGTACTGAATACTCGAAAATGAAATCAAATTTTATACTTAACTTTTTTAATTGGCGTTGTCCGTCATGCGTTTCTGCACAAATTCGCTCCAAGATGGAAATGCTCTTGTTGCGGCCAGCCTTTGGCGTCTGGATGGCCATTGCTCGTCGGACTGGAGACCCAGTTTTCTTTTCATGACACGTTCTTCTATCCGTCTTGACTTCCTAGGAAAAGTATTCTCTGGAGATAGTCTTTACCTCCCCTCGAGACACGTCGTCCGTAGACTGCGGTGGAAATACCGTCTATTTGGCTGTCTGTTCTCCATCATCCAGCCTTTGCCGCTTGCTGGAGAATCCTTTTGTGTTTTCCGCTGGCTGTGGTGGATGCTTTCTAGCTGACCGCTGGTGGAACTCTGGTTGTCGTCGTTGCTTCGTAGAGTGTTGCGGCTTTCCTTCCACGGAACCGCTGTTGGTAACCTTGTTTGCTGACCGGCCTTGTAGGTTGTTCCAATGTTTTTCGCTTTTCACTAGCTCTTCCCCCTGGCCCATTGACTTGATTCTTTTTTTTTCTTTCTGTTATTTACCGCTTTGGTCTTATGCTTGTTATGCTGCATGGCTGGAGTCCAGCTTTATTACCATCGGCATCATTGGAACTCTAAATAAATCTTTAAGAAGTGTCATTTCACCCCGATCGTAGCATTTTTTAATCTCATCAATATTGGCTTTTGATTCGTCGTCATTGACATTTTTAAGAATTACTGTAGTTTCTCGAATGCTTTTTATTATAAATGGCCCCTCAAATTTAGAGCAACACTTTGCTACTTTTGCATCGGTAGCACGGGATACATTATGTTTCTATTTTAACAGTTTTTCCCTTCTTTACAAATTTCCTTCCCTCCACCTTTTGTTGTGATAATATTTCTGCTTACTTTTTGCCATGTCAGAAGATTTAATGGCCTCATTGACTAATTTCTTAATATCTGACATCTGAAACTTCGGAGTACGCTTTTGCACGAAAACTAATCTATCGAGGGGTATCATTATTTTCCTCCGTAGAAATAATTCCGCAGGGGTTTTACCAGTCGTATTGTATATCATCGTGCGTAATGCAAACGCGAGCTGATCAACCGAATCATCGCAACGTCTGTGATAGTTTTTCACATAACTACGAATGATCTTAACGATATTCCGATTGAATCTTTCTGCAATATTAGATTGTAATCGATTTTCAAGTGGCGTATGCCAAGCCCTGCATATAGATCATGAAATATCTGACTAACACATTGGGGACCATTAACTGATATTATTTTTAATGGTGCACCATATTTTTAAATAAATTTATTTAGAAGGGAATATGCGACTAATTTGGCGGAACCTTTTACAGGGGAATGATTTCAATCCATTTGCTAAAATGATTACGATTACAGGTATGTAACGGTGTTTATTCTTATCGCTTTTCCGATAACTCACTAAGAGATTGACCCCCAGCAATTCATTGGGGAAAGCAGCCTTAATGCTGTTTAGGTATCCGGCCGGCCGGTAATAATTAGCATCATTAACTATTTCGCAAATATGGCAGGATCTGATCTATTCTTTAACAATTTCTTGTAATTTTGGAAAGAATACCGCCTTCGAACACGTTTAATTGTCTTTCTAATACCAAGATGCCCGAAAACCAATGTATCATGTAACTCTTGTGAGACGCTAAGTATCAAACTCGTTCGGATGACGTCCTTTAGCTCATTATTTTCGTTGGTAGCTTTTGAATAAAATTGGAGATTATCGATAATTTCGTCATTGGTGGATATGTTTCTAATGGCTGTTAAATCTGAATGCTCTAAAGTTATGATGCCGTCGTTCATCTGGTATAGGAGTTTGCGGAAATTTCTGTACTCTTGCTTATACGTCTGCGTGTGTTCGTTGTTGGAAATGCGGCGGCTTTCTTATTTTGCGGCCAGCTCAAATAGAGTTTCCAACATCGACGGATTCCTTATTTCTATAAAGTCTTGCGCTGGTGGGAGCAATATCGGCAAGATGATTTGGATTACTTCCTCGTCGGTTTTTTTCCCATACAGCAAGTTCACTACTTGGAGTTTACGTAGAATGAAGCTTGTCAAATCTTTCCCGTTCATCTCGTACCGGCTGTACAGTTCGGCTTCTAACCGCGCACGATTCCTCACGACTAGGAAGGCTTTTAGAAGGCCGGTTTTGAAGTTTTGGTACGTGTACGTTGGCGCACCTGGTTCTCCAAGTAAAAATTTGCCGATGCCTTTATACCAATTCAAGGATTGCCTGAGAGAACTAAGTTGAAACTGCTACTTCTTGGATTTCACCCACTGGGTATAAAATGAAGGGTGGTCGTTCAGCGGGTCCATGAATGCTGCTGATGAATCTTTTCCATCAAATAAGCACTGGGGTCTCATTTACGCTTTCATGGTGTCGACAATGTATCCAAAGCCTTCCATAGAGTTGACTTGAGACACCAGTGCTGTGGACGTGGTTGGGGCCAGGTCACTTGTGAAGTTTTCCATTGTCCTAAACTGTTTCGGGCGCTAGTTATAGAGTATTCTTGTTCTTTTTTTGTAGTATGCAACTTGGAATCTATATAGAAGACGAAGTAGCGAATTCTCGCTATGTCTTGAAGAAAAAATACTGCAGAAAAAAGGTTTTAAATAACATTTTTATTTAAACTTAATTTAAACAGATGCACGCACTTCGTGCTGACAAATCACCACCACAAGTGCTCGAGTAAATTTAGCAGAAAATAAGAATATAACAAATCACTAATAAGTTAAGATATCTAACGACTGGCTCCTTAGTTTAACTAACGCTAAATCGGCTGCACACAACAAGGTCGAGCCGAGAAATATCAGTATGAACTGAAAGATGTCTAACGCCGACTACAGAGCTAATTTTAAACACGCAGCATAAACTCAGAACTAAGTCCGCTACTACTCTCTTTGAACTCTTGAAACGCAGCTTAAATACTGCTTCTGAAGCACGTTTAGATTTGCATTTACGTTATAACAAATTTACATTCCGGCAGGGATGTAACGTTACACATGGGGAAAATTACGAAAACGCCCATGCAGCCAGCCCGTTCGCGAGATTCAAACCTCTGAACCAGAATTGAAATGCCAGTGTTCAGCTAATTCGTGGTTCGGCCGCTAGAGAGCCTATGACAACAAAGAAACTTACAAATGTAACAACTGAGTTAAATCCCAATTAGTATAGGTACTGTCACAACTTTTTTACAAATTTCTAGGTAGATGTCTTTTCATTTCACTCTCAGTTGCTCATGTTGTATGAATTAATTTTGTTGCTCATGCTGATTATTTCAGATAGAAGTATGTCTTTCATATCATGACAAATTCAAAGTATTTTAAATTATATTCAACCCATTTACCTTTTTGTTTCATTATTTTTTCTCCTATAACAATATAGCTGCTGCTTTTTTGCATGTGTATAGAGTCGTTTGGTTTGTTAAAGCGGGAAACATAAAAAATGCTCAATATCTTACCAGGATTCGAACTTTGAACCTCCCGACCGACGAAACCGGACGTGTTTCTAGTTACACCACAAAGAAAATTTATATTCTCCTCTACTTAAAGGGTGACTGCGGAGGCGGGGGGAGGAGAAGCCTAGTCACCAAGTCCAGGTGATGACCAGCTTTCCTCCATCACATTTTAGCTCGGTCGTCTGAGTCATTGGGTTTGTCAAAGCAAGAAACATCTGCAATGCTTTCGCCAGAATTCGAATTCTGAAGCTCGCGACTGGTAGACGGATGTGCTTCCAGTTACACCATGAAGGCATGTGCTAAGGAGGGACAAAATACTTTATATGTGTTTAATTCTCAGCACATGAAGTAATAATACCTTAATTCAATAAAATTTAATTTCCTAAAGTAAATACGTTCGTATGTTCCCAAACCCTTGTATAAGGTATAATAACATAATTATAATTCCATTGTTTAAGCATTGTTTAAACATTTCCATTTATAATTTCAATTCTTGCGGTCTTACTTTTTTCATGGCTCTTAAGCGCGATCTTATTGATGTGACGAAATATTTTAACTTGAATTTTAAATGGTTATATAGCTTTCCTTTTTCGAGCAGGATGAACTCCAGAGTATAGGAAAAATGACACGAATGAAAAATAAGCGTATAATAGGAGTTCTCTCAGTTTTTAAATATCCACGTGTTGAAAATTCCTGTTTGAAGTCGATTGCGTAGACTTCGCGATTAATCCAAGCAATTGATACTTTTGTTAACTGATTTGACCCTTCAAAAGATTATGAAGGGGCACATGCAGCACTCTTCATTCACTCCCCCCTTTCCTTTTTATGTATTTATTTATTATTTTTTTTAACTGAAAAAATGTTGATAGGTCAAAGTGTTTCTACGTTACGTCAGTAAGATAGTAGATTATCGAAACGTTCGCTCGTTCAGTTCATCTCCGCATAGCGTCATGTTCGCCGTCTTGTTCATGCTCCTCTCTTTCTACCTCGCCATAAAGTGAGATCTTTAATCTTTTTCTTTTACTAGAATTGAAGTATTTAATTTATTTTACTGATTTTAATTCAATTTTATTATTTATGTAATCATTTTCTATAATATTTATTTATATATATATATATATATATATATATAATATATATTCATTAATTAACTACTAATCTTCTCAGAGAAAGATGTTATTCTTCAATCATATTAAGTCGTGGGTCTTTTTTCATAACCATAAATATTTAAATTTTATTATTTATATAAAGTTGAACAAACATTTTAAAACATAAAAGTTTATTCAACTTTTATTTTATGTCTAATAAAACTTTTGTGTCTTAAAATGTTTGTTATTATAATGCAATAAGAATTTTAAAGTAACAAAAAAAAAAAAAAAAAAAAAAAAAAAAAAAAACCACATTTACAGTATTAAAAGTCGTAACGAAAGGAATTTTACGGAAATATGTATTAGAAGATAGACTGTTAACTGGCTATGTAAGTTTAGCTGTTGGTCTATGCATATTTGTGTATTAAATTAATATTATTGACAGCTTTAAGAACAAATCCAAAATTTTCCTACAGCTTCGAAGGTCTTTTGCAATATTAATTCTGATTATAAAAATATTTAAAATATTAAATGCTTAAATTATTATTTTCCTCAAACATATAATAGTTTTCTCTATACATTCATCTATTGTCGTTATTTAAGATATTAATTGTGGATAAATGTATTTAAGATACCATATCAAACTAAGTACAAAATTATAATACTGTTTAACAGTAAGAAAACGATGTGATAGAATGAAGAATGAACTAACCGAAGTTCAGTAGTATGGATCAAAAGTACAGTTTTGAAGTCTGAATTTTAGAAGTTAGAGAAATGCTTTTGAAAGAAAATACAGTTTTATTATTATAAATCGATAGAAATAATTAAGTTTCGGAAGTTTCATCTTTCGTTAAATTTTAGAATTATTAAATTCGCTGTCAGTTCAGAATCATTAAGTTTCAGACTTTCTAATAGCTATCTCACGTCTTCAAAACGATATCAATGCAAAACTACTCCCAAGAAAATCCTTGTTGTGCTAATCCAAGAAAAGAAATCTAAGAATCCCAAGAATTCAAAATAGAATCCCAAGAAATTCTTTATTCTTGTTGTGCTAATCCAAGAAAAGTGTGAAAACCGAATTTTTGTTCCATGTGAGCTACTTAGTCGGAGAAGAAGTAAAGATCCATTAAATGCCAGAGTAGTTAAAACAGCGAAACACCAGTAGTTTTATCGTAGGTTCGATTTCCAGAGAAGTTGGTTGTCTGGAGCTTTTGTGACTTTCGATTTCCAGAGAAGTTGGTTGTCTGGAGCTTTTGTGACTTTCCTCATATGGGAAAAATATGTAGGTTTGATTTTAATGAGAACGGTTGAACAGTTGGCTATATAGAGGTTTTGTAGTTTACCTCTTATGAACTATAAATGCAAATTTCCTTTAGAAAACTCTTTACGAAGGCATATTTTTACTTAAATAGAGAGCTTTTAAGTGTTTTGCCTTAATTAACTAAAATTATGCATAACAAGTAGTATTAATTGTGGAGAAAAGGTAAATTAGATTATAATGTACTGACTTGATGAAGAGATAATTAATTTGTTAAAACTAAAAGATGCAATAAAATGAAAGGGAGCTGAAGTTTAGAACAATTTCTGAAACTCATGAATACTAGCTAATTAGCTGTATAAAATGCAGCTTATCCATCGTAATGTAATTTTTTAAAATTTATTTGTTTATGGTTCAGAAATGGGGTAAGGAAAAGATTGTGTTAATATCCATTAAGAAAACGTCTGCTGAAAGTGCATGCCTTTTGTTAGCAAATAGCCCTTTTCAATATTAAAAGGTGGTTTCACTGTTTAATGACCTTTTCAAATAATTGCATATTCACGTATAAAAACCTTTAACCCCTCCCCAAAGAAAAGAAAAAAAAAAAAACTTAGGCTTCAACATGACCTGACCTTTAGAACCCTGGAGGTTTGGGGTAAAACCTCTTAGCAAAGCTCCCCTTTTCAGTGTTTTAAACATAGAAAATAATATTAATTCAAATTACACAACGCATTTATGAAATGACTCAATAATTCTTTCATTTAACGTTATTTCAACAAACATTATTTTTCATCTTTTTTAAGGTTTCAGTTTATTGCTTGCTATGTAAATATAACTTTATGCATTTCAAACCAGTGTCTTGTTTTTTACTAATTAGACACCTTAATTAATTAAATTGTAAAAAGAGATCAAATCATTGTAATTACATTATTTATTAGTTTAATATTTAAGCATATAAAAAATGTAGAATTAAATAATTCAGAGTTTTTTCTTTTTTCTTCTCCCTTTGCCCCTCCCCCCATTTTAAAAACCTTTTTTTTTTTTTTTTTTTTTTTTTTTTTTTTGGACGTTTTTCCTCCTCCTTGGAAGAGAAATTTGCTCTGTCTGCTTTAAAATTATAAAAGTACGCAATAGCTTAAAAATATCGCTCGCTATGTAAGTGCTAGACAACTGTGCAGTGTGTCGTTTGTGAACAAACACAGGAAAAACTAAAAACTTAAATTTAAAATTTCATTCCTGTTTTAAATTTTATATTTTTAAAACCGAGAATTTAAAAATATATATAAATTTAAACATATTTTAAATACTTTTTTCCGTTTAAAAGGATTTGAAAGCTTATTATCACCATATAATACGAAAGCATAATGAATATCGCAGACGTAAAATAAAACCTAGGTGTTTAATATTTTATCCCGGTTCAAGGATATGGATGTAAAATGTCTTACTCATTTTCAGAATGGCAATCAAAACTCTAAGATATAAATATTGGGCATTATATCGCTTCATATGAAATGCGTAATTCTAACTACGCAAAGAAAGCAAAATTTCTTGAGTTTGAAACTATGCAATTATTATTACAAATGGAAGATTTGATTATTTTATTTTATTGGCTGCTTAAATGACTGATGTAATTCTATTTAATATGTTCACCTTCCTTTATTAACTCGAAAGAAATTTCGAATGTGAGCAACTAGATGTCTTAAAATACTCAACCTTGAAATTTTGCCTTGTTGAAATATTTTTATTGTACGCGAGACCACTGTGAAGTAATTTATATTCTTTGCTCGCTAGAATTGGAGTTCAAGGTTGATTTCTACATGGCAATTCTGCTAGACATTAAAAAAGGCGTTTTTTATGGGTGTTAAATGCGTATCATTCTTTTAATTTCATTGCCATATTTTATCTCAGAGTGTGTACACGTGTATCAAGAATTTCGGAACATTTTTCGTAACTTAATGCCGTTTAGTTTAGTTTTAATTGCATTACAAAAATTAGATAACATTTGTATATTTCACTATCGAATCTCGTAGTAAATATGCTCGAACTTAATAACATGGACATAATCCTAGGCGATCATTTATTTGAAATATATAGTCCGTATGACACAAATGCATGATACGAATAGTTTGTGTGTTATGCATAATACAGATTAAATAAAGGCTTTCTAAGCTTCAATAATTCTAAAGTGTATCATTGGTATGCTTTCTTTATGTTCTTAAGAAGCATCTTAAGCCGAAATATTTACCTTTAAGCGGTCTTAACCACATTCCCGCTCGTGGCTTCTTTCACAAATCAAATCCAGCTGACATTTAAGCTCATTATAATGCAATAATGAGCTTAAAAAAGCAAAATTTTTGGCTTGAAGTAGAAAATTTGGTTTATTTTAATTTGATGATGGTTAATTTAATGTCCTATCGGAAAACGTGAGTGTAAGCGAAACGTTTTACTGCAATTAATAATTTACCTAATATAAAGTAAACATTTGAGTAACAGCCATGGCAAATTATAAAATTTTTCCGTTATTAATATATTGCGATTTTAGTACTCTAACTGCAGCTGCGAATTTAACAACCCCAATGCGATTTTCTTTGAATTTCATGCATACAATTTTTGCAGGCTAGTTGTTTACTCATCTGGGGAATGACAGTGTAATAAAATCAATTTACACATTTGTTTTATGAAAAACTATAATTATTGTGAAGTATTTAAACGAATTAAATTGTAAGTACTTTATGCTAGAAACCTTTTAATCCATTATATTCAATGACCGCCCCACCAGTGACCGAGTGATTAACATTCTGACTGCTTATGCCGCGACAACACAAAAGTAACAAAATTTGCGTTTTTCCAGTCTATATAAAAGCATTCTATATAAAGCATATAAAAGCAACATTCCGCGATTTTCCAGTCTATATAAAAGCGCATCCCGCTTTCCCCCCCGTTTAATTGTTGATAATGCATTTTCTATAATATTTAAATTTTGGTCAGCAGATGGCATTATTGTCGTATAAATTCTCGTATTTGCATAGAGTTCATCAACTGATTTTGCAAGCGCTCCCGTTGTTATCGTTTTCTTTTTTTATATTGGCTTGCAGGAAACGTTCAACGAGTGATAGAACGCATGTTTCTGATAATATTCCTGATACTGAAAGTGATTTTAGTTATTATTGAGATAGCAATAGCGAAACAGATTGTTATTTCTCGGGCTAATCTCCAGATAGTGATGAATAAGAAAACGATTCAGCAACCATCCAAAATATTCGGCAGTGATACAAAATTGATATGTCCGCCTTTTTGGGATTACTTTGAACTTTTGAACATGTGAAGACCTAGTTCTACTCTCAACACTTTGAAATAGACAGCTCGTCATTTGCAAGCCACATCCTCTTTATCTCACAAAAAATGAATCTTGCAGACAGAGTGATGTTTGTTGCTCCCCAAGCAAATTGTAACTGCAAAACAATTTGCTAAGAAAACGTATTTTTTGCAAAGAATGTGTAAAACAGGATGTAGGACTTTGTCTGGAACCTTGTTTTACAAATTTTCACCCTAAACTTATTTCTCGTGCAGTTTGTGTAACTATTGACCATTTTCATCAGTATACATACTTGTATTTTATGAAGAAAATCATGATTTAATCAAGATCTATTT